CACGTTCTGTAAAGTGGCAGGTTACAAAATTAGCCTACAAAAGTCTGTAGCCTTTCTATATACCAATAACAAGCAACCAGAGAAAGAGTACATGAAAACACTTCCTTTCACAATGGCTGCAAAATGAAGAAAATATCTCAGAATACACCTGACCAAAGACATTAAAGAGCTCTACAAAGAAAATTTTAAATCTTTAAAGAAAGAAATTGAGGAAGACATCAGAAGATGGATGGACCTTCCATGCTCATGGAATGGAAGAATTAATATTGTGAAAATGACCGTTCTACCAAAAACTATTTATGGATTCAATGTAATACCAATCAAAGGCCGCATGACATTCTTCACAGAATGGGAAAAACCATCCTAAGATTCTTATGGAACCACAAAAGATCTCAGATAGCCAAAGCAACCCTGAGCACTAAGAGCAATGCTGGGGAAACGACTATACCAGATTTTAAACTGTATTACAGAGCTATAGTCATAAAACAATATGGTGCCAGCACAAAAATAGATCCATAGATCACTGGAACAAAATTGAAGACCCAAATATGAGTACATGCAATTTCAGCTACCTGATATTTGACAAAGGGGCCAAGAACATTAGGAAATGGTGCTGGCAAAACTGGATCTCCACCTGTAGAAGAATGAAACTAAACCCCTATCTTTCACCTTGCACAAAAGTCAATTCCAAAAGGATCAAAGACCTTAATGTGAAGCCTAAAACTCTGAAACAGAAGAAAATATTGGCAATAACCTACAAGATATAGGTGTAGGAAAGAATTTTCTAAACCGAAAATCAAATGCTCAGGAAACAAAGTCAAGAATCAACAAATGGGACCTCATTAAACTAAAAAGCTTCTGTACATCAAAAGAAGCAACCAAGGAAGTGAAGAGAAAACCCACAGAATGGGAGAAAATCTTCACCAGCGACACAGTTAACAGAGGTTTAACATCTAGAATATATAATGAACTCAAAAAACAAAGAATCAAGAAAGGAAGTAACCCAATTAAAAGTTGGGCTAAGGAACTGAACAGAGAGTTGTCAAAAGAAGAATTAAAGATGGCTAAGAAGCATCTTAAATGGTGTTCAACAGCATTAGAAATTAGGGAAATGCAAAGTAAAAGCACTTTAAGATTTCATCTTACCCCAGGCAGACTGGCTAAGATCAAGACAACAAATGATACCAAATGTTAGAGAGGATATGGGGAGAGGGGAACGCTCATCCATTGCAAACTTATTCAACTGCTATGGAAAGCAATGTGGAGAACTCTTTTAAAAACTACAAATGAACCTACCATTTGACCCAGTTATACCACTCCTTGGCATATACCCAAAGAACTCATCCTATTGCAGAGACACTTGTACATCCGTGTTTGTTGCTGTTCTTTTCACAATAGCTAAGAGATGGAAGCAACCTAAGTGTCCCTCAATGCGGGGGTCTCTCCCTCTCTTCGCGGGGTCATTGGCCACCGGTCCACGAAGGCAGGGTGAGCAGAAGCAATGAATGGAGTCAGGACGGCCAGTGAGCACTGACGGAAGAAAGCCCTTCCGGAGAGGCAGGCTCCACGACGCAGTGAAACAGAAACAGCTCTAGATGCAGTGATTCAGTGAAAACATCTCCAGACTCTTCAGTGAAATGAGACAGCTCGTTTATTTAGGGGAGTTGGAGGGAATATATAGGGTGAGGATAGCAGCCAAAGCTTTGCCTGATAGGTGATCATAGTATGCTTTATTTACATGTGGCAGGAGGACCCTATCATGTAGAAAGGGAGGTGGGATTGACTGGCTATAGTGCAATGCCTAATTATCATATGGGAAAACCAAGGGCAGCATTTGCAAGGAACAAGGTCATAGGTCATGTTCCAAATAAGGTCAGGCATCCGTGCTTGGTGGCACTTTCCAGGTAAGCCAGGAAGAGAGCAGGAGGCCCCCTGCTGAAAAGGGGAGTCCTTCCATTTGGCACCAAGCCCCTATCCGGACATGGAGAACTACAACCCTAACAGCAGGGTTTCCCAACACCTCAACTGATGGCTGGATAATGAAAATATGGTTCATTTATATGATGGAGTTTTACTCAGCAGTAAAGAAAGATGAAATGAAATTTGCATGTAAATGGATGGAACTAGAAACTGTTATACTAAGTGAAGTAACAAAGATTCAGAAAAAATAAATGACATATGTTCTCCCTCATATGTATATCCTAGCACCAAATCCTTATAAGTGAGTATGTATCCAAACATAGCTATAGGAACCACGATAATGAAAAAGAACCAGGGAGGTAAAGGAAAAGAGAGAATATGAAAGAGAAGAACAGTAAGAAACATGTGTTAATAAGGGAGCTATGGACAAAGGTGTTATTTTAAGGGGAGGGTGGAGGGAGAGTTATACAAGGAACCTTGGGGATAAAGGGAAAGAAGGAGCTCAAGAGAGGTAGGACCACAGGAGAAGGGTATTATTAAGGGACAAATGGGAAAAATGCAAGCACTTTAAATAGGGCAACCATGGTGGAAGGGTTAGACAATGCAAGAGATAAATACTAGTTAGTTTAAAAAAAAAAAAAACAGAGGGAACCATATTAGTCCAACAACCTACTGACAAATTTTACTTACAACTAGCTCAAGGAGCATAATATATGTCTAGTCAACATTTATCTGATGTTGGTTTCTGCCCAAGCTTTATCTACATAGCTCATGGTAATTAAAAGTACCAGACTGGTGGAATTAACCTTCTTGGATGTTTAACAGCCATACTTTGAGGCCTATAGTAATTTGGTCAGAGGGACTTAAAAGACAGTTTTTGCTCCTTGCCCTCCAAGGTTGACTATGGAACATCTCTCAAAATGTCCTGTAACTGTGGTGAGTCACCTGTCCTCTTGATCACAGAGGCCATGGAGACCCCACCAGATGGGCTTGAACCAGTGTCCAGTCTACAAAAGAGGAGGGTCAACACAGAGGAAACATTTCCTCCATGTTTCCAAGTGAAGCCATCCACGGTCAAGCAGGACCTTTGACTTATCTTCATTCATACAGATGGAACTGGTAGAGGGAAGGAGATAGGGGCTCCTCCTAAGTCCATGTGACCCCTGAAGAACAGATACTCAAACCACCTTAAGAGTAAAAAAATATTGGTTTATCTGGGCCAAGTGTATGGCCTTAAACACCCAAAAAGAAAGTATAACCAAAGATTAAAGGATCAATATAATTCTTTAAAAGTCCATGTGTAAAGATAAAGGCTACATAACAAGAAACAATGCCAGACAGGCGATACCTTCTTTTGAGTTGTTGGCCACGGTGGCCCAATATACTCCCAGACAGTAACCCAGCATAGAAATGGGAAAATGAACAGCAGACCCCAATATTATCTAGAGGAATATTGGCAACAAACAGCTTGCTGCTAGATGAGGAAGAGCTGGACTTCCTAAAACAAGGAACTCTAGATAGGCTGACTAGACTCAGTGGATGGATAAGCACTGGGGAACGGCTGGGCGCACTGACAACACAGTGGACAGTAACAGGGATGACAGGGTATATGGGCTCCAGTGGTGGGGGTGGTGGGGGCATGGGAGAGTGTCACTTGGGATGTGGGTATATAGATGAATAAGATTGTTTGAGATGTTCTGTATGAAATACATAAATAAAACCAATAAATTTAAAGAGTTATATTTGAGGAAGAAGCATAAAAATTGCTTCATGTTAAATTGTAGATGTGAAAAACATTGCCACTGAAATCTACCTGATGACTTTATATCCGTGCTCAGGTGCCAAGGATCTCAGAAAGTAACCGACTGTGTCTAGTAATAATCAGATATAGAAATGAGAGACGCATGTACAAACATCTGTTAGTTGCATTAAAATGAGTTTCTGTATGAAACAATATATTTTAATAATGAAATGGAGACTTTTTTTAAAGGTTAAAACCTCATTCAATGTTATGTCTTATAGGGTTTATAATGAGCACAATACTGTATAACTGCATTAATTCAACTGTGAACTCAAAAATTTGCAGCCAATTCTGAAAGAGATGCATCTTAGCTCTGGAAATTGTTATTGATTATGTCAATGCTGTTGTAATGAAATGCTTCTTGTAATTATGTGGTTATTAAATAATTTTTAGAATTCAATTATGTGTAAAGATAAACTAAAAGTTAAATATAAAAATAATTTTAAAATATGAATAAAGCAGAATTTTTGTTCTGAAAAAAAAAAACCCTAAAAGAATGGAAATAGATATTATGCTATAGTGTTTGGGGAATATTTAACCAAAAGGCAGCTGCATGTTCAGTACAGACACGTCTTTTTGGCTGTTGTCAATCTGAGGTTTGTTGAATCCTCAGATGCAGAGCCCATAGATAATGAAGGTGCCCGAGATCTGATGGAAAGTCATTATCAGAAGCTTAGGGCTTCAGAGTTTGCATGCATTAGATATGCAGGGGGAAGTGGAAAGATCTGGGTAAATAATTTAAAATTTGAAGTCCCAACCAAGAAAGGAAAAGTCTGATGTTCATAATACTCTTAACTTGTTTGGATATCAGATAATGTTAAAGATGTTGATGTTAAGTTCTTTTGCTTCTTCCAGATGCAAATCATAAATTACAGTAGTGTATTATTATGTGTTAGGAATTGAATTCAGGGCCCTGCACCTGAAACACACAGCTTCTGCTACCCATCTGTCTCCCCAGTCTCTAGAACTATCTTTTCTCCATTCATATAAACATGAGCATATATATGTACATAAGCAAAATGCATAATATTCAACAATTAAGTTGATGGCCACTCAAGTTGATGGCCAGGGAACTTGTGAGATTCCTCTCTGGCTATGCTGAGATTGGAGCAGGGAGATATACCTCAGAAGGCCAGCCTCTGCCCTGCCTGGACAAGGAGTTTGAACAGTGCTTAGTTTTTACCTTGGAATACTTTTCAGGTCATAGAATACGCTTTGCTCAAACTAGAAAATACTTATAAGATCTCCAACCTGCATGTCTGAGGCCACGTCTGTAAAACCAATTTGCCATCCAACACAGCATTCAGGGGATTCGGCTTTCCCCAGAGAGCATTTGTAACAGAGACCTGGGTGTCTGCTGTGGCAGCCAAATGCCACTTGCCACTGGAGAAGGTAAGATAAACTAATAATTTTAAGTCTTCAAGTAGATAAAAGCACAATTTTCAATTATCTAAACAGCATTGTTTCTTAAATACTTAATTTAATTTCATACTTGCTCCATAAGATTCTATAGCTCCTCTCTACTAGGTACTCACTCTCTGGAGATCTTGTTGTGAGGTCTGGCATTTTCATCTGCCAGGTTAGAGAATTAAACATGTACAAAACAATTGATAGAACAATTCACAAGCAAGAGTTTGACCCAAAGAATCTGATAAAGTGCTGGGAGAAGTGTATGGAAGATTCTTCATACTACAGCAGGAAAAAAGCTGTGGAGAAATTTAACCAACAGAGTTTTTGGAAGAAGAGAGGAATTGCCATTATCCCCATGAAATTCTCAGTTGGATATCCAAAGACATTTTATTATCAGGTAATATCAGAAATGCTTGAAACTAAAAAAGTTCCAAGTGCTTATAACAGAACTTCTATTGATACTAATCCTTATAAAATACCTTGCAACTGCAGGGGTTGTGGTACTGGTTTGGAAGATTTGTTTCTTTTGTTCTAGGAACTATAATACTTTGGTTGAGCAATTGCTGATAATAAGATCTGCCAGAAAAACACTGCAGTTCTAATCTGTAGATCACTTGAGGACTGCCTTAAACCCCAACCTCATTTTACATCTGTTGACATGCTTTTGTATAATCTTTAAGCATAAATTCTGAAACCTATCTCTGAAATGCAGTACCTTCCCTACCCCATCCACCCTTGATACTTAACTCCTACAGTCAAGCTATGCTAAAATTACAGTTTCCTTTAAGAATTCCTCACTCCAGGCTACAACATAGTCTTAGTCATCTACCTATTTTCTAGCCTAGCATACATGACACAGCATGGATGGATGGATGCATGGCTCAATGGATAGATGGATGGATGGATGGATGGATGGATGGATGGATGGATGGATGGATAGATAAATGGATAGATGGCTTGTTGGTTGGCTGGCTGGATAATAGATAGGTGAACACATCGTTACATCAATAAGAAAGTAAAAGAAGTTTCATGAGTATTGGGTCTTTCTTTACAGTCTTTGAAATTGTTCTCTCAGATCTAGAAAAATAAGCGAGGAGGCTGGAGAGGACTCAGCAATTAAGAGCCCTGGCTATTCTTGCAGAGGACCCAGGTTCAATAGCCAGCACCCATATGGCAGCTAACAACGGTCCATAACTCCAGTTCCAGGGGAATGTAGTGCTCTCCTCTGTCCTCCACCAGCATTGCATGACACAGGTGCACTTACACAAATGCAGGCAATACACTCATATACATACAATAAAAATAATAAATAAAATATTTTTAAAAATAAAAATAAGCTGGGGTTACATGGTCATTCTTATACAGGCAAAGTGGAATGACTGGATTATACACAGAAAACACTGACACTTCTGCAGGTGATTTGTTTTCATTGTTTATATGTTGTGTAAAAAAATATATTTCACCTAGAGAGTGTGGAAATATCCAGAAGCTAATAATGAGCCTTTTGAAATCAGTGTCATCAAGATCAGGCAAAGGCAGATCCCCAAAAGACACTGTTGGTGGAATTTTAGAACAATATCTTACAAGAATTGAGATGTGTAGCGTTGCATTAGAAGCAGAGCAAGCATCTGAAGATTTCATCATTGAAGATTCATGGACTCCTTGTCTAAGATGAGGCTGTGAGATACTGCTCAAGCTTCTGGGAGCTCTGCTTCTTTCCCACGGGTGACCCTGGGGAGGGAGTAGCCCAGAGCATTGGAGCTTCCAGAGCTGGGTCACCATGTGCCTCTAGCAACTCCTCTGTTCTCTTTATATTTTGCTAATAGATTATCTGGAAACATAATCCTTACTTTGGAAAGATTTCATTCAGATGTTTAACCACACCCCAACTTATGATGTGAAGCAACCATTAACCTCAGGGAAAATGATGCTCAGTTTAGCTATTTAAAACTCAGATAAATGGATATTTTAAACATGTTCATAATTGCTCAACTCTAATTGGCCCTGCCTCTCAAACAACTCTATCAAATACTCTCAAATTTTAAAAATTTATATGACCAGGGGTCTGCCTACTCACAGTATTCTCTGATCTGCTCTTGAGAGAGGATAACCCAAAATTACAAATTCTACCCACTCTGTAGCATCTTTATTTTAGTAAGGGATTTCTAGAGGTGGTGCCTAAATCTCTACATTTCCCTAGTTTGGTAATGCAAGTTAGAACTCTACCCTATAGGACAAGGGACTCCAAGCACCATGTACCCACACCACACAAAGACTGTGCGGCACACCTCCTTACCAAAAAAAATTGCTATGGTGCATTTAATTGTCAAAATTGTAATTATATAATGGTGATAGTACAATTTTCAATTGGTGATCATGTGAATAATAGTCTTACTTTATTATAAACAAATTTAAATGATACAGAAAGCTTCAAGAAAAAAAATCACCTGGAACCCCACCATATGGAGAAAACTGCTGTTAATGTTTTGTTAGTACCTTTCTATACCTCCCTGGGTATCTGTGTGTAGCTATACAGTTGGGCATGGCTGTGATCACTCTATATATTCTGTGTTTAGTTGTAAGCACAGTTGGAAAGGGTTTTCTTTTTTGTTGTTTTAAGGGAGGAGGGGCTGTTGTCTTTTCTTCCCTCCAAGTCTCCCCTTCACCTCCAGCCACCAGCTCATCAAGGTTAATGATTTCGGGTACATCCTTCCATTTCATTCTCCATTTCTCCCTCAGGTGCACATAATCCTAGCAAAACATTCATGGAGGGATGAAATGTGCTATGATATCATATCTTTGAGAATGTTCTTTCCCACTTTCCATCTTTCTTCCTAAGCTGGTGATGAGCAAATTGAAATTAACAGCATTAAGCCAAGTGGAGAAGCAGGAGGTATGGGGTGGAGTTGGAAAGACAAAACCTCCCCTCCTTTGAAATTTTACATTCTCTGTAAAGCCACCTCAGTCACCTGCTCTGAACCAAGAAAGATAAAACCCAGAGCCTTGTCAACTCAGCACACTTTCACTAGTGCCTCCTGGGTGATTATTGATGAGCTCATCCAGGCAAAGCACTGCAATCTGGGGGTTTTCTGTTGGAGGGCGTGCTCCTGTGCACCTGCACTGGACTGTTTAGTGCTGTGTGGTCTTGGCAGCTGTCTGGTTCTCACCTCCATGTCCTCATCTGCAGAATGGAACTGGTGTAACAGCAATTACTGGATTATTGTCGGGATTAAAATGAGATGACACACACACACACACAAAAAGAGGTGATACTTGCGAAAACATTTTTATATTCTAACGTGTTAGAATAGGAATTATAAAGGAAGAATGACACAGTCCTCATTGAGAGGACTGAGTATCATCCAATAGCTGAGATGAGCACGGATGCAAGCATTCATCCCCGAAACAGTTGATAGTCTGAGGGCAGGAGTGTGTGCCAGGGCAGAGCAGCATGGTATAGATACTAAGACAAGTGAAATAAATATGTGATATGGAAATCCAAGATAGAGTATCGAGTTTAAAAATTGAGAGCAGAGTTTACACTATTACAACATTTTAAAAAATTATTTATTTATTAACCACATACTTAGAAGAAGCATTTCATTGCAACAGCATTGACATATTCAATAACAATTTCCTGAGCTAAGATGCATCTCTTTCAAAATTGCCTGTAAGTTTTTAGGTTTACAGTTGAATTATTACAGTTATACAATATTGTACTCAGTATAAACCCTGTAAGACATAAAATTAAATGAGGTTTAACCTTTAAAAAAGATCTCCATTTCATTATTAAAATACACAGTTTCATACAGAAAAATTCATTTTAATGCAATTGACATTAAGATGTTTGTAGATGTGTC